TGTTTCACCGGTAATGACTACAACCTTTGATTTTTAAATGACACCTTCGGTATTTTTTTTACTATATTTGATAGAAAATGACTCTCTGAATAGAATTACGTATCAAATGTCAACTTTTGACATTTTGGCAGATGTAACACCCGGTCAATAACGACAATTTAACTCGAAATACTATACCATATGATTAAAATACGATTTGGACATGTTTTAACCGGCCAGGCTAAGACACGAAAAACATTAGACGATCAAAACTATTTTTCCAAGGTTCCTTAATTAAAAATTAGTGTTTTAACATAGCCATGGCACTCTAGATTGAAATTTAAAATAATATTTGTTTTAAAGCAAAAATATCAAAAGTTAACATAACATATATGATACGTCATTCCATACAGAGTGTCATTTTCTGGCGAATAAAATAGAGATTGACCGAGGGTGCCATTTAAAAATCAAAAGTTGTAGTAATTTTCAGTGAAACAAGAAGCGACCAAAACAATTAAATATGTCACTCAATTACAATTTATGTCATATACTAACATACCAAATCTCGTTTTTTTATCTAAAAAAAAATTAAAAATTACAGAGGTGAGCCACTTTCAAGACGCACCCAGTATATCTACATTAAATTATTTTTGTTTTATTTTTCAGTAAATTATTTTGTCTTAATACAAAACCCAAAAAGCACACTTAATGAAAATTAAGGAATATTTTGTTTCTCAACTGAAATCATGTGAAAATATATCATTGTTTAAAAAATTCAGTTATCTTTCAGAACTCTTATAACACTCGGCCAAAGAACTTACGTTCAAAAACAAGTGGGATACACGCGTACTCCACTTTTTTTCTGTAAATTTCGATTCAGTATACAATTAACTGCATTTAAATCATAAAACAACCTGAAGGCTCTAGTTTTTATACATTTTAGTGATTTTCTTTAAAAATATAATGATAATATTATTTAAAAAAAATGTAATTACTGAGATTAAGCACACATGTGTATTAAACTTTTGAATGCTCTTTGCAGACACTGTTAATGCATTTGAGGCACCGATTTAGATTCTTATATCTCTTTTCCTGTCACACAAATGACGTCTGCCAACTTGAGGCCTAGCACACATTTTACATCGGAAACTAAAGACAAGAAAAAGATAAACACTTTTGGTCATTGTAGTCACAACAATAATTTGTAGAGTGATGTAAAAATAGTTACACTGCGGGGTACACTTGTACCCCGATTTTACAAGGAAGTGGGGTACACATATACCCCGCATTTAGAGGGAATACATAGGGTGGCGCACCTCATTCGCCTCGTTTGATTATACGAACACGGAAAGATGTAGAAACAATATACTTTATGGATATATGTGGAAAGGCAGTGTGCATAATTTAAAATAATTATTTTTTACCTATGTACAGGGTGTGTCAGAACTAAGATCCATACCAAAGTTATATTTTTTCTTATGGAACACCCGGTATTTTATTTCATTTTTGGATTCTCGGACATAAGCTAAGGCATTTATTATAAGGATTTACTCTGTTTAAAAGGTTTGGTTTTTAAGATATTTCAAGATATTTAAATATGCATGCTATAATAAAAAACTTTGTCAACACCTTGTACATTACTTTTCAGAATCAATTCTTGTAATTCAAGTTTCAAGCCAGAGAAATAAACTAAAATATTTGATTGCTCCTTAAATGTATACAGTGGTATCAAAAATTGCTGGTATATTTTAAATATTTATTTTACATAAAAACTTTGTTATTTCAAATGCAACATTATGTATTTTTTTAAGAAAGTCGAAGTAGATTTAAATGCTCTTTCAAACTATGTTAATGTTTCCTATACCTATCTGGCTCAGATTTTGAGTAAAAAGCGATATAAAATTGTAACCAAGATGGCTAGTGTCGCCATGGCCCTCGGAAAACTTCTAGTGACACTTAGTAGTTATTTTTAAAATCGACATGGGTTTATGGACTTTATTTAAATTTATAACAGGTTATTTTCATTTAATTTACCTACATTAAAGTTAATAAGTAAGTATTTATTATTTTATCAAGAAATATGAAGCAGTATCTGCTGGCGGAAGTGGATATGTTACTATCATGGAATTAATATGGAGTGGGGGTTACTAGTGATTTTCTATTGTGAGGACAATTGCTTGTTGACCTGAAGGATTTATGTTCAAAGATATCCAAATAGGAATTTTCTAGACAAGCGTTCCTTAGAAAATCCAATATATCTACAACTACTTTTTTATTTATCTTGATAAAATAATAAATACTTACTTATTAAACTCTTGTAGGTACATTAAATAAAAGTAAACTGTTATAAATTTAAATAAAGTCCATAAACTAATGTCAATTTTGAAAATAGCTACTAACTGTCATTAGCATATTGTCATGGCGAGACCAGCCATCTTGATTACCATTTTATTGAAAACTCGCTTTTTATTCAAAATCTGAGCCAGATAGGTATAGGAAACATTAACATAGTTTGAAAGAGCATTTAAATCTGCTTCGACTTATTTAAAAAAATACATAGTATTGTATTTGAAATAACTAAGTTCTTATGTAAAATAAATATTTAAAATATACTAGCAATTTTTGATACTCCTGTATACATTTAAGGAGGCAATAAAATTTTTTAGTAAAGTTTATTTCTCTGGCTTTAAAGTAAGCACAAGAATTAATTCTCAGAAGTAATGTACAGGGTGTTGACAAACTCTTTTATTATAGCATGCATATTTAAATATCTTTCAATATCTCGAAAACCAAAGCATTTAAACATATTATACCCTTATAATAAATGCCTTATTTCATGCCCAGGGATTCAAAAATGAAACAAAATACCGGGTGTTCCATAAGAAAAAATATAACTTTTGTACGGATCTTAGTTCTGACACACCCTGTATATTTGAAAATAAATTATAATTATGTAGATTGCCTCTCTACATATACCCATAAAAATGTTTGTTTCTACATCTTTTCGTTTTCGTATAATCAACCGAGGTGAATGAGGGGCGCCACCCTGTATATTTTCTAATTTTTTATTCAATATTTTTTATTAGACAGGGTGGCGCCTCTCATATGCCGCGGAAGCTCCAAGGAGAACGGTTGTTTATATCGAAATGAAATTTTGTGACCATATGTAGGTCAATTCAGAGCACTTTTTAAAAATATATAGAGTTCTACAGGGTGTCCCCAAAAAAAGTTACATATCAAAGTTGTGTTTTTTCTAATGGAACACCTTATATATTAATTGATTTTCAGATTCTAGGAAAAAAATAAAGGAGAGTTTTATTAAAGAAGCATATACCTAAAACCTAAGGATTTTGACATATTTCACATTTTGTGAAAATGAAGAGTAAATTTTAAATTTCGATAACAGCTACCTAAATTTTAGTTGACCTTGTATAGCCTGATATTTAATTACAGTAACCATCGTATGATAAATCAAATTGAAATTTGACCCAAAAAAATATGCAGAGTGAGACAAAATTAACATGGAACTTTAGTCATTTTTAAAAGCAAGTTACTCAAAGGAGTAGAGAAATAAAGATTTTAAATGGAACACCTAGTATATTTTTCCGGTGTTCAATGGGGAATTTATATATCTTCAAAATATTATTAAGGTTGCCTACCCCTCAGACAAAAATTTTCCCAGATATTTTAATTCTTATGATTTTGCGTCAGTAAATCCCTATTATTTGAAAAAATCTAGGTGGCTGTGTGATATACCTTTTGTTAATTTAACAAAAATTAAAAATTGCAGAGCAAAATACTCAAGGGTAATAAAAAGATACACGTTTATAACATAATATTTTAATTATTACAAAGTTAAAACTAGTATAAACCTATAATTATGCGACAAAAATTAGCTAGATGGAATCAAATGCTCAAAATGCTTCCTTGCCTGTTAACTGCATAAAATGATTGTCTTTTCAAAAGGATCTTTTCATTTTAAAAGGCATATGTGTAGTTCTACATCGAAAAGCAGCTACAATAATTTCTCCCATGTTGTCGATACTAGTTGGTCGAGCTTTGTAAACACTGTCTTTAACATATCCCCATAAAAAAACAGACTAGATAAAATCAGGAGCATTTAAGTATTCTATTAATTGCACACTGCATTCACCAATTAATAGAATCATATCAATTTTCTCTGATGTAGGATAATATGTTTGCATTTTCGGCAAATATCTGAGAAATTCTTTTGTTTTAATTGACCCAAATTAACAACTAGTTGTTAAAGTTGGACTAGTTAGACAGCTATGTTGAAGTAACGTCAGACCATATCACAGCAACCTAGATTTTATCAAATAATAAAGATCTACTCAGATCAAATCATGTAAATGAAAATATCTACGAAAATCTTTGTTTGGGGGCTAGGCAACCTTTAATAGTATTCTGATGAGACATGAATTCTCCATTGAATATCGGAATAATATACTGGGTGTTTCATTTAAAATAAGAGAGTAACATGCTTTTAAAGATGACCAATGTTCAATATTAATTTTGTCTCACCCTGTATAAGATTTTGAATCAAGTTTTAATTTGATTTAAAGTACAATAGTTAATTTAACTACATATTAGGCTATACCGGGTAAAATTCCAATTTAGGTAGCTTTTATTGTAATTTAAAAATTGTTCTTTATTTCTAGAAAATGTTAAATATGTCAAAAACCTTACATTTTAGTCATATACTTCTCTTATAAAACTCACCTTTATTTTTCTCAAAAATCAATTAATATATAGGGTGTTCCATTACAAAAAATACAAGTTTGATATGTAACTTTTTTTGGGCACACCCTTTAGAGCTCTCTGTATTTTTAAAAAGTGCTCTGAATTAACCTAAATATGTTCACAAAATTTCATTTCAATACAAACTGTCGTTCTCCTTGGAGCCTTCGCGGCGTATGAGAGGCGCCACCCTGTACTATAAAAACTCACTTTTAAAATATACATATTTTATTGCAACTCACCTCGATTTCTCTATCCTCCAGATCGCCGAGAAACTGTACAAAGTGTATCGGTCAGTTGACGACCTGGATCTGTGGGTGGGCGGCCTGCTGGAGTCCAAAGCCCCAGGAAGCCTGGTAGGACCGACGTTCAGGGACATAATAGCCGACCAATTCGCGCGGCTCAAGAAAGGCGACAGGTATTTCTTCGAAAACGGACCCTCTATTAATCCAGGATACTTTTCACCAGGTAAGAACGAGGTCTATTCAGAGTTTTCGTAGATTTTTATATGAATATATTTTCTATTGGTGATGTTTTTCCGAAGTTTTACTTTTCGCAGGAAGAATTTTTATTCTTCATATATACACATGTAATAGAATTGATAAAAATAGAACTCAATGTATCTACTCCCTTGCATTAAACAACCTAATATACAGGGTGGTCAGAACTGTATTCGGGAAACCTCGGCAGCATATTCTGCATCAGATAAAAATAAGTTGAAAAGTTCGTATAAACCTATGTCCTAAAATGCTTAGTTTCGGTTAGGTTAGGTTATTTTTATTACGATTTTTTCGAAATGATTTTTGAAGTAAAAAATTTGATTTTGATGTCAATATTTCTCCTATTTGTATGGGAGCGCCGAGTGGAAAAAATGTACATTTCCGTAATTTTGTACGTAAAAAAATTCTCTTAGTAAAAATCGCTACGAGCAATCGTTGTCAAGAAAATTAAAATGGAAATAGTCAATACATGACATAACTGACAATAAAATAAATATGAGTAGATAGTTATTTGACTGAAATGATAAATTTGGAACTTTTTATTTTTTTTTAAATTAATCATAAATTTTTCTTCGAATAAATGATGATGAAACAGTTTCTGTTGAACTTTTGGCACAAAACATTTCAAATTTATTATTTCAACAACTATTTAGACAATAATATTATTCTTAAGATATTTTACTGGAAATAGTCAATACATGTCATTATTGACGAAAAGTAAACACGTTGAATAGATAGTTATTTAACTAAAATAATAAATTTGGAAATTTTTACTTTTTTAAATTAATCATAAATTTTTCTGCAAAAATGATGGTAAAACAGCTTCTGTTGAAGTTTTGGCACATAAACATTTCAAATTTATGATTTCAGTCTAATAACTATTTAGTCAGCATGTTTATTTTATGTCAATGATGACAGGTATTGATAATTTCGATTCGAAATATCTCGAGAACCATTACTCGTAGCTCGTTAGATTTTTACCAAGAGATCTTTTTTACGTAAAAAAATGTCGTAAATGTATATTTATTCAGTAGTTTTATACAGGTACAAACAAAAAGTTATTACTTTTCAAACCAGTTTAAAATATGTAGATGGCGCCCTCTACAAGTAGGAGTCATATTGACATCAAAATCAAATTTCTCATATCAAAAACTCTTAAACACCAATTTTCATCCAAATATCAACGTTAGTTCAGAAATTATTTGGAAAAAATCGAAATACAAATGAAACTTCTACACCCTGTATCTTCGAAACTAGACATTTTAGGAGACATCCATTTATACGAACTTTTTAACTTATCTTTATCTGCAGAATATGCTGCCGAAGTTTCCGGAATACAGTTTGGACCACCCTATATTTTACATTGGTTGCAAAAGAATATGCAAGGTGAGTTTTCTGTCATGTTTTCTATGGGTATCTCGGAAACTACTGAAGCTAGAGAGTCGATTAAATATATGGCCCTTTCGAATTTTTGAAAAAGTTTATGCCTTACTAGATATCTCGAAAAAAAAAACAGATTTAGGATATTTCAAAAATGCTTACTTCCAAAAAATATGTTTGTCATATCAAGCTACGGAGGCGCATAAATCTATTATGCTATATAATAGATATAATAATAATCCAGTGAGCGAAAATATGTCATTTTATGTTACTATCACCAATTATATTTGATAATAAGTTTCTTAAAAAAATTGATAAATTTTAAATTAATTAACGGTCGTTTTTTATTGATGCTCTCTAACGGACAAACGAAGCACTTTTGCATAAAGACAAATTATGTGCAGTTAACTTATTTTGATTCAAAAAATACGTAGTTGTTCTATGTCCACGGAAAAGTTGGAATTCCCTATATTTTGTAGATTTTGGTAAAATAAATAATCCAAAAAAAATTCTTTCTCAAAAACTGTGCGATGAAACATTTACAAAAAATTAGTAAATACTAACGGGACCATTTTAAGAAAAGAAAATATGTCGTCGGTGGAGTTGGATAATAATTATACTAAAAATTATGTAGGGGTGGGGGTAGTTTTCACCCTTCCCATACTTTTCTTAAATTTTGTGAAAGTCAAATGTTAGAGCACGGTTCTTAAATTAGCACAAAAAATGTGTTTATTTTTTTAAAGTTTAATGCCCTCTAGAAGAAAAACGAAGCACTTTTGTATAGAAGTAAATTGTGCCCATAAACATATTTTGAATACAAAAATACGCAGTAGTTCTACGTCAAGGGAATATTGGGACAGTCTGTATAATATTTAAAATTGAGATTCTTAATAATTTGCAAAAGTCATTACTACTTTCTTTTGGTAGCATGAAAAATTTATTTTCTTGTTGATATTAAAAAGTTATGAAATAAACTCTTGAAGCATTCGTTACTGAAATATGTAGGTACTTCCTTTGAAACATTATATCTTTAAAATAGTTTCAAATGCATTTCTGCATAAACAACTAAATCTCTTGAATTGTGAATGGAAAATATTTGTAATAGGATCTACCTCTCATAAAGTAAACGATAAACCTCCGTTTTAGATCAATTGAAAGAGCTAAGGAAGGCTTCAATTTCACGAATCATTTGCGACAATAGCGATGGCATTCTGCTTTCCCGTCAGGCACCGAAGGCTTTCAGGAAACCTGGCGTACCTGGGTAAGTTATTTTCTTTATTTTTAATGATTGTTAGTAAAATAAATGTGTGATATAACTATCCATATATTTTTTTCCTTGTCTTGGGTATGAGGTTTTTTTTTAAATAAATTGAAAGATGGAAACTTTTTTTTATGCGACGCGACGCTTCGCTCCAACATATGTTAATATGTTAATACAGACTGGTGCTAACAAGGCGACTTCAAGAATAAAGTGCCTGAAAAAGCCCACTATGTTGGAGCGAAACGTCGCATAAAAAAAAGTTTCCATCTTTCAATTTATTTAAAAAAACCTCATACCCAAGAAAAGGAAAAAAATATATGGATAATTATCTAAAGGTTTAAGAAGTAAGAAACAATTAAACTTATTTATAACTAACAAACTATGTGGTAATTGGTAGTATTAAGACACTAAATAACACACATTTATTTCTCCTGTTGATTTTCGACTTAACGGGCCTCCGTAATTAGGTAGACCAAAAATAAAGAATTAAAAATAGAAAGAAATAATTAACATAGCAAATTAAAAACGCAATATTTAGATATGTAATTTTATTTTTATTGATGTATTAATTTAATATGAATTACCTACTAACTATTTAATTGTTTAACAGATAATATAATAATTATGAAACAAATATTTTTCCTATTACTTTAGTACCTTTACTTAATCTGTCAATACATGATAGACATTTCTTTTTTAATCTTTTAATAATATGAGACTGGGATCAAAATTAAACATGCATATTTACTTTTAAAATAGCTATTACTACTATTTACTTCATTATTGAGATACTCTATAATTAAAGATTTCGAGTATGCAACAGGTTAAAACAATATTTTTGACTGGCTTTTTTTGAGATAGGAATTTCAGTAATATTTTTATAACGGACTTGTTCTTAATATGAAGTGCTGTCAAGATAATTATACCGAAAATATTACCTCTCTTTCCGTTTTTAGTGTACAGGGTCTAAAAAAATAGTACCACAAACTTTAGTGGCTGATACTACAGATAAAAATAAAGGAAAAACTTCCTAATATGCTTATTGAAGAAGTTAGAACAATTGAAAGGGTAATAAAAATATATTTTTACGAGTAATGGTAAACTATTTTGCTTAAAATTTCGTATCCTAAGACATATTTTAATGCCAGAGAGAATGGCGATAGTGTAAAAACCATAAATAGTGTTATACCATAAAAAATAGAATTTTCTACGTAAGAAAAGCACTTTTGGTTTAGTTCGAAACCGTAAAATGATTTCCAGATATTTCTTTTGAAATATCTGGAAAATCTTTATAGTTTATAGAAATATCTTTATATACATATCTTCTATAAAATCTTTAGAGGTTATGATATATGAATTTTAGTATAAGCGAAATCATGCGATGTTATAAATATTTATTTAGATGCAATTTCACTGGCATGGAAAATTTATCCAATTTTTCACCTGCAATGTATATTACCCAGTCACACAGATTAGCCAGACCGTCGCTTTAAATTCTGCAACTTATAACTTAACACAATACAAGTAATTTTAAACACTAATATTCGTAGTTATATCGCAAGTAAAATAATCTTAACTTAAAATAAATTTGGATTTCAGATTTTTTTAAAGAATTCTTTTCAGTTCTTTCTATTAAAAAAAAATAAAAATATGCCGGTACTCATTATAGAAAAAAATATGCCCTATGTTCTGGCTCTTTAAAATAAAAAATTCTGTTACATTTATAACTTAATTTTGGGAAATTAAAATAACTTTGGTTGCACATCATAATACGACCACCAACAAACTCCATAAGACGACGCATTGTGTATATTGATGACGTGCACCCAAAGTTGTTTTAATTTCCCTATATAAGGATGTAATTAATAATTATTACTGAATAAAATATAGACAACAGTATTGAATAAAATTATATTAAATAATTTAAATAAAAACTAAATATTAATATAATATATTGAAAAGTCGATCTATTAAATTTTTACTCGAATTTCACTAAAATTGATGTATTTATGAAAGCCATTTCGTTTATTTATACATTTCGGAAATGATAATCAGGCCAGCGATAATTAGCATGCGATAAACTGAAATTGAAATTTGTTGACAGGCCATTGACCATTAGGGTAGGTCGGGAGCCGTAATTTAACAGTAACGTATTTATTTTAAAACAGTCATATCCGGCGAACCCGATAGAGCTACGAACAGGTAGATACAGTCATTAGAAAAATATAGTTTTAAAATAATTAAAGTTTATTTTTAGGTTTTATCGTTTCAATAAGCATCAAAATGTATTTTATATTATTAAGAATAATAAATACATAAATAAAAGCATAGTTATAATAAAATTAGCCACAACATGTGATCTTGTTAGTTAAGCTTAGTTGACACGGTCAAAGAGTCATCATCATCATTTTGAACTTATTCAACAATTTCCAATTATGGTGTAGCCTCCCTTAAATACTTTCTTTACAGTTGAGCCCATTTTTGTCTATTGTTGGCTATGCGGGCCCAAGTTATCGCTGGTATCTTCTAGGTTTCTTAATTCCTCGTGGGTACCATACTGTATTTTTGTTGCCATCTCTTATCCTTTCTTCTTGCCAGGTATCCTGCCCATTGCCATTTGAGGGATTTGACTATGTGGATGACATCTATTACCTAGCTCTATCTTTTGTCGTATCCACTCTATTTTTTACGGTCCCTCTTGGTTATTCCCAGCATATTTCGTTCCATTGAACGTTGTACGACCTGCTGTATTTAGTTCATTAATTTGTTCTTGTAGTTCTTCAGGACTATTGGCAATAGGACTATGTCATCAGCGAATCTTACATGGTTAAGGTATTTTCCATCTATTTTTAATCCTTTGTTGGTCCAGTCTAGTTGACGAAAGATTTCTTCTAATGTTGACGTATTGTAAAAGGCCTGTCAATACCTTGTTTCTCTAGGCCTTTTATTATTGCCTTAGGATATATTATTAGCCTAATCGAAAGCCTTCTCAAACTCTATTAAGGCTATGGCTAGTGGAAGTTCGTATTCTTTAGTTCTGCTGATAGTTTCTTTTAGTGTACATCAATCCTGCTGAAGCCGCTTCTAAAGCCTGCTTGTTTTCGTGGTTGTGCAGCGTCTTACCCCAGTGCAGTTATGACATTCACCATGTTGAATTTGCAAAAATTTTTAGAAAGCTGCGACCATTGAAAATAGTTAGCCTTAGTAACCCTTATTAACATACTAAAAGTCCCCATTTGTCCGATGTGTGCGTCATCAAAAAAAATCGGCCGCCATCTTGAATTTTGGCACTTTTTGGGAAAAAATGTAAATAACTCGAAAACGGTTTGTTATAGTGAAAAACTTCAAGAGGTAAAAATTAAAGAGAATAATAAACTCTATTACAATCAATAATCAAAAATAGTTTATTATCCTAACGCAATGACGTAAAAAAAAAATTTGAAAATCGAGCAATTTTTAAAAGGAATCACCGAAATGCAAATTACTAATTTTTTAAGCTTATTAACAAATAACATGGATATTTAGCATAAATTCAACTGAAATATAATCCTTGTAACATTTTCAAGAAATATTTTTTATTGGTGGGTTAATAATATTTCAAAATTAACAAAAATTGTAAAAGCTATCCTTTACTAAATACATGTGTACTAACAATGTGCGAAAGCAGTCTCCACCTTGTCCCGGTTAGGGTTATTTGCACTTAAACCAAGGTCTTATTGTTACCATTTTGTAAACAACTTGTTTTAAAAAATACAGTGACAGTTTGAAAACTTAGGCTACAGGTTGGAACAAAAAAATAAAATGAAATGTAAACTGGCGACTTTCAAAACGTTGCAAAAAGATCCTCATCTGCGACAAATTACATCCGTTTTTTTTAGATCCTGCAGCACAAAAATCTGAGCTAGTCGAAGCTGGAAATACATTCCTATTTTCATTATATGGTCGACATAGGCTAGCAAAAGATTTAGATCAATTGAGGTATTTTAAATATAAAGCCCTTACATCTCGTCAGGTACTTATAGTAAAAATTTGGATTTAGCTACCTTACCTCCAACAACTAACGCAGCTGAAAATCATTATTATAGGACCTATTTATAAATGCAGTATTGGCTAAATAACGGAGAAGAGGCAACAGAGTGTGGATGGAGTAAAAAATGGATACCTTAGTTCCAACAACAATGTCAAACGCAGTGGCATCAGAATTTGTATAGAAAATGATTTACTGTATTTGCAAATCTGGATGTAATAAACTATGTACCATTGCGATCAAAAAAAGCAGTACAAGAATTAGTAGTCCCAGATCGAACTCCTGGTCTATAAGGATATTTGAATTATATTGAATTTTTTTTTGGATTTAGCCAACAACACTGTTTTTTTTGTTTATCCCTAATGCATCTGCAATGACCCTTATGGGAACCCCATCCCTTAATCGCGTAAATATAATCGATTTTTGCTCTGAAGTTAAAGGCATTTTTTAAAAATTACGTGACACTGACACAAGAATATAGACTAGCAGATTAAATCATATTTTGTTGTACTATTTTTTTTAATCGCAATGGTACATGTTTAAAATCCAATATGCCATGTTCATGCTTGTGTGGTAACTGTAATGGTATTTCTTGCGAGAACAAACAAATATCGGTCGATGAAGAAGAAATCGAATAAAATTGTAAATTTCTTTTTTTTCTAGAGGTGACAGTTAGGTTACAAGTTGGTAACACATTTTTATTAAAATGGTCATAATTTGAATTATTGTTATTCGATTTGTAGGGGTATGTTTATAATGTATTTATCATAATGAAAAAGTGTTAAAATCTTAGGTTAAGATCGTAGATGATATTTATGTCAAAAAGACATTCGCAAGTAGTTTATTACATTTTATTTTTTTCTTCCAACCTGTAGCCTAATTTTTCAAACTGTCACTGTATTTTTAAAAACAAGTTGTTTATAAAATGGTAACAAAAAGACCTTGGTTTAAGTGCAAATAGCCCCGACCGGAACAAGTTGGAGGCTGCTTTCGCACATTATTAGTACACATGTATTTAGTTAAGGATAGCTTTGACAATTTTTGTTAATTTTGAAATATTATTAGACCACCAATAAATATTTCTTGAAAATGTCACAAGGAGTGTATTTTAGTTGAATTAATGCTAGATATCCATGTTATTTGTTAATAAGCTTAAAAAAATAGTAATTTGCATTTCGTTGATTCCTTTTAAAATTAATCGATTTTCAAAAAAATTTTGTACGTCACTGCGTTAGGATAATAAACTATTCTTTATTGATTCTGATAGAGTTTTTTATTCTCTTTAATTTTTGACCTCTTGAAGTTTTTCGCTATAACGCTCCGTTTTCGTGTTAATTACATTTTTTCCCAAAAAGTACCAAAATTCAAGATGGCGGCCGATTTTTTTTGATGACGCACACATCGGACAAATGGTTGTTTATTATTTTCGTAAATATCTTGTATGCTACTGGTAGTAGGCTATGGTTGTATGTTATTGGTATTTCTATATATTTTTATTGGTTTCTGATGTCTTCTTTGCTACCTTATTATAAAATTAGAATTATTTTGGCGCTATTTCAGTCTTGTGGTACCTTTATGTTTTCTCCTTAGACAGTTGGTGTGTATATTTCCTAGGATTTTCTAAGTTCTTCTACCAGCGTACTTAGTAGTAATAAACATTTTATTTCAGCTGTTATTCCGTCGTTCCCTGCTCCTTTTCCATTTTTCATATCTTGAAGCGCCTTTTCTACTTCTCCCACGGGAACTTCTGGTGCGTCTTCTTGTGGTAGTGGCAGTCTTTCTTTTCCATGTATGAGGGTCTTCATATAGGTCGCTGTAGTTACCAAACTTATTATTTTTTTTTTGTTATTCTGATATTGTTGTGTGTTAATGCGATTATATGCTTCTTTCCGATCATGAGGGATTCTTAGCGTTCTGATAGCTCTTTCTGTTTTCGATTTGTCAAGTCGTAGTGTAGGGTCAAAGTGTAGTTGAATCAAATAGACTTCATACTCAAATATGGTGTCTGTATTCATGAATTTCCTTTTATAGACACAGATACAGTAGACGTACTTTAACTGTACCTATAATAATGCTGCGCGCGTCTCACTTATACTTGTACGTATTATATTAACTGTTTAATTCAAGTAAGTAGGTTGGCTGCCAACTTTCTTGGATGCTACAAACCTTTCCAACTCGACTTTAATACTCAACATCCATATAAGTGTGACTGTCCCTAACACATAAATATATGATACGCATTTCTTTCCTTAGTGAAGAGATAAGGCTATGGTCAAAGTTGGATATATACAGGGTGAGTCTTAAAAGTGTAAATATTTTTAGGGCTGGTAGATCTCGCTAAAAGAAACATATTATCTCTTTACTGTTTTTTCGTTACTTTTACATAGTTTGACTTAAGAAATTTTAGTTTCGGAGGTACAGCAAAAATCGGACCTTTCCTAAAAGATTTAATTCTTTACAAAGTAACTATTGTAGACACGGGTTTCTAAATATTTATTTTATACATATTATTGGGTAAATTAATTTTTAGACATAGTTTGCCTTAATTAAAAAAAACTTTAAATTAACTTATTTTTTTTTACTTTAGTTTCGGAGATATAGCAAAAATCAGACTTTTTTTAAACGATTTAATTCTTTACAAAGTAACTATTGCAGACACGGGTTTCTAAACATTTTTATATACATATTGTTGGGTAAATAAATTTGTAGACATAGTGTGAATTAATACGAATTTTTAGTTTTAGATACAGCAAAAATCGGACTTTTTTTAAAAGATTTAAATCTTTATATAGTAACTATTGCAGACACGGGTTTCTAAATATATTTTTTATACATATTATTGAGTAAATTAATTTGTAGACATAGTGTAGTACGACAGTATCCTGTTGACTTGCTCCCATGACACTATGATTTTGTCAACTAGACTTACATCAATATTATATCAATCGTGGCACATTTTAGTTCACTGTAATTTGTACAGGGTGTCCCGTTTTCATGTGTTTTACAGGGTTTCTCGTTTACGAATAGAGGTACAAAGATGCGGTTTTCACATCACTAAGGTCCTTTTTATGAAACTGAAGATGCTAAATACACATATATCCCGACCCTCTTAGTTTGTGAAATATAGGGCGAATTTGAAAATGTTGCAATTTTTTAACTTGCTTATCTTATAACTTATCAAAAAAGTGAAAACTGAATCGGGTAGAGTTTTTCCCATATAATACAGTGGTAAAATTCGCCGTGTATTTCAGAAACTAAGAGGGCTAGGACAAATCGGTATGCTGCATCGTTAGCTTCACAAAAATGTAACATCGTGATATAACCATATCTCCTTAGCTCTACCACTAACGAGAAACCACATAAAACATAAATTGGACATCCTGTGCTCTTTAGAAAAATATAATATTAAAATAAAGAATTTTACTTTTATGGTATAGTTAAAAAATAAAAACACTAAATCACCACAATACACCAAAACACTTTTACTTTTACACTGGACGCGCGTTTCGCTAACCATGTTAGCATCATCAGCAGATGATTATAAACTAAAGTACAATCTACAAGTTGAGCGTTTATATACTCGCCCAGTGGGCACCGAGTGGGCGTGGCAAAACCAGCCAACCGAGTCAGAGCCAACTGAGCGTAGCAGTTAGATTTCCGCCACTAGAGTAGTAGGAACAAAGAACTTGAAGGAATTGGACCGTTGTCTCTGTTCATACTATCTTTACATTTATTAATTCTGATGCTTTCATATGCATCTAATTGCCTGTAATTTGAGACTTGTTTAATTAATTTTAAATTATTAAGATCTATACAATGTTCTTTATCAACAATATGTTCGGCAACGCAAGATTTATCCGGTCTACCATATCTTATCTGAGCTAAATGTTCTTTAAATCTAGTTAATATTGATCTTCTAGTTTGCCCAACATATTTCTGATTACAATCTTTACAAGAAATTTCATACATACCCGACCTTTCCAGTGGAGATGTTTTATCCTTTGGATTACCTAATAATTGTTGTAATTTATTATTAGCACTATACACAAGTTTATAATTAACATTCTTAAAAATTCCTTTTAGACCACGGGTTAACTCTCTATCAAAGGGTATCGAAAAATATTTAGACGTATCTTTCTCCACTTGAAAAGTCGAATTTTCAGAAATCATTAACCTATGCCTACGTTTTCTAATTTTTTTTGGTATAGTTGCAATAAGTGGGGGTCACTATAATATGTAATATATTTAAGAGTGGTAATCATAAATAAAAGCACAGTTAAAATGGAATTACTCATATCTGTAAATCATATTAAGAGAATATTTATTTATAGGAATTTGTACTTCTTTTTAAACGGTTTTATTTAGCTCGACCCGTACGGTATTTATTTATTTGTTTGTTTATTTGGGTCAAAATTAGAAATTGAAATTTAAGTACCTTCCTGTTGTCAGATTGTTCTGAAATTTGGTACACACCTTTAGTTCCGATGACAATACAATATAGTAATATCAATAACATTGTAAATCTAAGATGGCCGCCGGTACAAAATGGCGGATTTCATATTTTTCCACAACCCCCTCAATATGGGTATCAAATGAAAGGGCTACACTAGTAGAATACTGTGATTATAACAAAATTTAAAATCCAAGATGGACGTCGTTACAAAATGGCGTATTAGGTGAGGGCATGAGTAGTCGTGTCCAGAACAGTTGTGTCCAAGATTGTGTGACGTTAGAAGGACAGATAAAAATAAAAAATTGGTAAAAAAACTTTTAAGTTAAACGGTTTTATCTTATGTGCACTGAAAACTAGAAAATAATAATAACAATTAGGTATTTTGAACTTCTAGTTCAGAAATATTTTAGTACTAGGCAGAATAGCTTTATTAGGCACAGTAGCTTTATAATATTTATTTTTTTCTAATATGCCTACTAGACTAAAAAAAAAACGTGGGGCCCCTCTGAAATCCTACCTATGGCAAAGCATATCTTTATACTTTGGTAGATCATGAGCTCGGCGTTCGCTGGTGAAGCCGCCACGGCTGGTTATGGATTGTCAAAATCTCCAGTTACGATTATAGTAAGTCGATGCAATCCACACTTAGTATAGAAGAAAGTATTACAGCAATAGTTAATGGGCCCCACGTTTTTATTTTAGTCTAATATGCCTAAAAGCTATATTCTGCATAGTACTAAAATATATCTGAACTAGAAGTTCAAAATACCTAATTGTTATTATTATTTTCTAGTTTTCAGTGCACATAAGATAAAACTGTTTAAATTAAAAGTTTTTTTACCGATTTTTTATTATAAAATAAAACAGAAAACAATACAAAGTTATATTTGGTATAGTTTTTACTTTTATATTTATTTATTTTTAGAAACGAATTTAGTGATTGCAATGGACCCGAAATTCCATCATTGGATCTATCCTTCTGGCAAGCGTAGAGGATAATTTTATCGTTTGTTTTTTACATTTTGTTTTGTTTTGTTTTAATTTTATTTATTTCAGATACATTATTACTGTTTGTTACTTTATAAAAGTGTTTTTTTTAAAAGAACGATCCTGTGTTTTATTTTTTAGGGGATGTAAGTGAAAAGAAGGGGAAATTGTGATGTAAATTACTTTATTGCGAAACAAAACATGCTGTTCGCACGCCAATTGATCTCGAACGCGTGAATAAAAACAAAACAACGTTAAAAAGTATCAATTTTATTTTTTTATAATCCATTTTTTTTGTCTGGTTTCGGAATTCTAAAATGAACAAAAAACAATGGAGAGCATAACACATTGAACATTTATTTAATACCTAAACTTAATACAAATCATAAAATAAAACTGGGTATTTTTTTGCATTTTCGCGGCTGTTAAAAAATATCATTAGGGTCAGTTGGTTGTAAAAATGAGACATTTTTCAAAACCTTTAGTTTTGAACTTAGTTACAACCGTTTAAATACAAAAGTATGTATATATTCTACTCTAAACAGGCAAACTATTGCAAAAGTCAAAAAATATACCCAAAGGCTATATATCAGAAATAACTCATATTTACATATTTATATTGAATATTGAAGTAATTTTAAGACTAGAAGGATAGAAATGAGACATAAATTTATCTTTTTTACTATTAGATAAAAAAACTGAGCTAATAAAGTTATGATGAGCATGTAATTTAAATCAAAATATAGTAAAATTACACCGTCGCAAAACATTTATAAACTGAAAGTGTAAACAATTTATTAACTTAAAAATGAAAAAATATGTAGTTAATAAGTGCCATTATAGTCTAAGATCACAGAGCGATAGTTTGGATACTGTAAAAGGAAATATTGGAAAATAAGCCTGGGTGTGATGCATGCAATTCTTAGTCGGCCGACTATTTAGTTGCAAATTTGTAACCGATATAATTATTATGGAGTCGCGCTCATATGCAATAAAATAGTCGACCGATCGGCTCCATAAATATGTATTGTTTTCACTTTTACAACTAGTCTATTTAAATAGAGATGCAAAAATATTAAATCAAAAACAGTAAGTATTTTTAAAATATTTAAATACTTTAAATACTCGGAAACGCATAGTTCCCGCGCTCATAGTCACAGCTAAATAATGTTAATGTGACAGCTAAATCACAGCTAATTAAAATAGCAGTTCATAGCAAAGTTTACAGAATAAAACTTTGGTCATACTGACACTCAAAGTGTAGAACAATACAACTATACCAGTTAACAAACTAAATATATCTTAAAATATATTGAAAGAACAATCATCTCCGCACTCCTAGAACTCTTTCCTTACAAATTTTATTGTGGTAATTTTAAAACAATGTTTTTCCTGAAAAGATTATTTAGATAATTAGACATCAGATGAGTAACTACAGTTTTGAGAGCTTTTACTGCATATATTAAGTTTACATCACCGCTGCTGACTAATTTTGTACCCCTTTAAAGATCTTTTTCTCTGTATTTGTTTGGTTTTTTTGCATTTTTTTGTTATTTTTGAGTTGTAACTAAAATTTGAAAATATACATGTCATTAATTTGTTTCATATTGAGCCCTACTTTTTCCTCATCATATTAGTAAACCCATGTGTATATCTTAAATTTACCCCTCCAAAAACTAGCAGAACTTAATTTAATACAGGCATGGCCTTTCTAGACCATGTACCGTAGTAACGCACATACTATCACCCGAGGGTCACCCGAGAGAAATTTGGTAGCCAATGTCATAAGTTTCAATCCTAAAACGAGACAATGGATTTGTATTTTTTGTTTTCCAAGATTCATAACACCAAGATTAAATAAATTATGGAGATGGTCTCTTAACCATTATTGTTAAATGTTCCTAACAAAAAAACTAACTGTATATAAGTTTCCAGTAGTTTTATTTGAATGTCCCCTTTTTACACCACTTGACCCTTTTTTCTAAATTTTCTAATTTCCAGCCACTAACTAACTAAGCATTCTAACTAATTATTTTTTAACAGTCGCAAATATTGTTTAAAAGAAACAAAATAATGCCGAAAATTATTGGTATTATTCCAGCCTTCATAATACAATTATTTTCAGCGTAAAATATTTCAGTTTAATCATTTAAGTACTATTTTTAATTAAGTTTTCTTTTTATATATTTTTCTTATTCTCAGTTTTTAAACATTATGCTAGAATTTAGAATTATTTATATTTTACAATCTAAGTGTTATTAACATAATATGTGTGGTTCTAAATTTGGTTTCACTGCCTCACAGATCGTTTGTCCTGAAAGAAGAATACAATAATTAGAGAATTAATTTAAAAAATATTAAAACTAATAAACATTTTTGAGAGTCGTATTCAAAAAAAAAAAATATATCAACATTTTTTTTTATCCAGCATAACATGTACAGGGTGGGTCAAATTCGGCGCTTTTAAAGGGAAACACCCTGTTCTATAGGAGATAGACGAAAACTAATATCGGTGTCTGGAGCTCAATTTTCATCAAAAGCATGATGGTGAGAACCGCACATCGATATCTGTTACCGTTTCGGAGTTACGGGGTGTTTTTCAAAAATGTGCATTTTTAACAAATCGCTGTAACTTTTTTGCTATGGAAATTTTTCTATTTTTATGAAAACATTTCCAAAGTACCTCTTCACGTAGAATTTAATGGTTTAAGTAAAAAAAATTAATAATTTAAGAGTTATCAACAGAAACATTGACTTTTTTTTATTTGGGACGCCCTGTATATTTTTAATTATATAAACAGAACTTAAAATTACCATTCCATAATTATAGCACACTTGATATTTTATTATAATTCTCTTCGAAATACAGATTTTCTAAAAGTTCGCCACTTTTAATTAGAAGGCTTTGGACCCCTTATTGATGATCTGCCCCTAATGGAAATCGAAAATATATTTTTTCAGCAAGACGAGGCCACGTCTCAGAAAGCTGAAGTTATCAACTAACTTTTGCAACCAATTTCGAGAATAATTGATTAGCTAACCAAGATCCCAGCCGTTGGACGTCGAGGCCGCCGGACTTAGTGCCTATGGATTTTTATCTTTGCGAAAGAATAAAGGTTCTTATTTTTAAAGTGCTTGTATAATCTAGACAAGAATTAAAAGTACTTAACGGTTACGCGAGGGTATCTTTCATCCCTATGGAGTTAATGAATTCCGCGAGAAATGTTCAAAAACGGTCCCGTCTCCGCATAACAGAAGATGGTCGACACACCTGTAGCAAAATCTCATATCTTGGTTTGCTAATTTTTATTTATATAGTTATTAGATACAGTTTATATGTGTTGATGTCACAGCTACAATTTTTTTTTGCATTACAGCCGGCGCGGTTCAAAGCCTACTCATTTAAAGTGGGCGAATTTTTAAAAACTCTATATCTCTAAGAGGAATCGAGCAAAATATCAAATGTTATATTTTTGGAAAGGTAACTTTAAATTATTTTCAATGAATTAAAAATACACAGGGTGTCCCATATAAAAGATCAAATTTTCTGTTGATAATTCTTAAATTATTTAAAAAAAATGTATACTTAAACCAACCATTAAATTCTACGCAAAAAGGTCACTTGTTTTCATAAAAATACAAAATTTTTCATAGCAAAGAAATTACAGCAATTTGTTTAAAATGAACATTTTTGATAAACACCCAGTAATTTATAAACGGTAACAGATATCGACGTGCGGTTTGCACCATCATGTTTTTGATAAAAATTGAGCTCCAGACACCGATATTAGTTTTCGTCTATCTCCTATAAAAAACGGTGTTTCTCTTTAAAAGCGTCCAATTTGACCCACTCTGTACAAATATAAACTAAAAGTTTACAGCTGTATAAAATATAATCCGATGTATTGGATATTTTTTTCAATAAAAATTCAGTTCCATTAATAATTTCAAACAAAAGAGATTTTGTACGTTATTTTTCTGTGAATATAGCGTTACTAACGCAAATCCTCGATAATAAATATCTGTTCTTTTCATGTAACTTTAATCCCAACGGGTTAAAGATCTACATAGACAAATTTCTCAATTTTATTTCATTTTGTCTTTTCTCTTTTGCTTGTCGTTTTTATAAAGTTACTTTTATATCGACCTATATGTCTTTTAAGCTTGAGTAATGATGAAATAAAAGGACACATAGTGGCCAGTTTAACTATTTTGCTACTTTTTATTATTTATAAATAAATAAATGCCTTTATTGTCAAAAAATTTTAAAATTTGTAGACAAAGGTAAACTAAACAAACAAAGTAAACAAACAAGGTACACAAACAAACAAACAAAAGATAATACAAAACATTATACAAATAATATTGTCAGTCTTATTGTTTAAAATAAACATTTATAAATGTTTACAATGTCAAAGAACAAAAAAATAAAAACAACATTCAAAAATATTTAGTTGGTTTATAAATAATAGTCTCTAAATAAATTTATTTCGCAATTTATATCCTATTATTAGATTAAGTGCAAACCTAAAGTATGTACGAGATTTTATTTCAGGAAAATATTTTAATTTCTATAGGGTGTCTCAAAAAAGTATAAGTGGATTGGAGTGATTTGTTTTAAATGTAACACTCTTATATTATTGCATTTTTGGCTTGCTTTCAGAACACTTTACGTTACGTTAACTGTCCTGAAATCATAACTGTATTAGGTACTTACTTTAGATGGTCTATACTTACTTTGCTATAAATATGGTAATCTTAAATCATACAGGGTGTTCAAAATTCTATGCCAAACTTTCTAAAATATAAAGTAATTTTTCTTTGTTTTTTTTTTAATGAAACCTTGTATATTATTTTTTTATTGGATGGAGAGTTAAAAAATGAACATTTTTTGTATTTAAAATATTTCAAAATTTTTAATGGTTTCGCAGATACACGCAGTATTATTTCCATATGGCTCCTTCAACGGTAAAATACGAGAGAAAAATTATTGGGTGGTTCTGATAAAAATTTACTGTTGAAAATGCCATATGAAATATAAAACCGCAAATAGCTGTGAAACCGTTAAAATTTTAAAATACTCTAAACACAAAAAATGTTCATTTTTAAATTCTCCATCTATACGGGTGTTCGCTACAGGGTGTTCCGTTAAAAAAAAACAAGAAAAATTATTTTATATTTTAGAAAGTTTGGCATAGAACTTTGAACATACTGTATGATTTACGATTATCATATTTATAGCAAAGTAAATGCAGACCTTCTAAAGTAAATACTTAATATAGTTTTGATTTCAGGATAGTTTATAAGTGATCTGAAAGGGAGCCAAAAATGCAATAATATACAGGGTATTCCATTTAAAACAAATCATCTCCATCCACCCACACTTTTTTGTAGTGATGGGCAAAACTGTTATTTTTAGATAACAGTTGAAACTGTTATAGTTATTTATAAAAAACAGCTTAAAATAACAGCTTAAAAATAACAGGTTTCTTTATTTTACTGCTAAATATCTGAAAGAGTATGAGACGGTCATCGCCAGGCGTATTAACGCAGTTGCAAGTTGCAACAATGACGTGCTCGGTGGTAGTATTTCCAGGGCGTCAAAACATTTCTAAATATCGATTGTTATCTAAAATACCTCTCTAAAAACGGTGGTTATTTACAAATAAGCGCTGTTTACAAATTGCGATATAAAAAAGCCAAAATTCGGCCACTCGTCTATAGTATATACCTACGCCCTGCCCCTCGATCCGCGTAGATCCTGAATTGCGTAGCAGTGTACAGGGTGCATCTCACTCGACGGGCGAGAAGCTCTTAGTTATGATTTTACCATTTGCGGTCAAAAAAATAGCAATATAAGAAAATGTGTAGTATATTCTTCATAAGTAAACCAACTACACACTAGAGTTCGAATTAATTTTACACTTAAACTAGTGTGTACCCGCGACTTCGTTCGCGTCGAATTAATAATTTCTAATGGTGATGATAAAGCAAAAACAAGAATTTCCATTAACATACAAACTGGATAAAATTTTCTCACATTTGCCAAAAATAAGCTTTCTAACGTCGAGCAGTTTAAGCAGAATCGTGGTTAATCAATTACTCAACTTTTGGAACACCCTGTATGATTTTTTTTAAAAATTTCAAAATATGTAAAAAAAAAAAAACAAAATAAATTATGCGTGTTCAGGGGTTTTCCTGAAAGACTAACCGTTTTATAAATAACAAATATTGTAATATTTGAGGGGCGTTTTCAATTTGTTGGAATTTGAGATTCGAGAAACCCCTCCTTATCGAACCTCAACCCCACAGTCAATCCGTTTGCAAAAATCAGCTTTAAACGTCCAGCAGTTTAAGCAGAATAGTGATTACTCACTGGTCATATTTTATGAAACACCCTGTATATATTTTAAAAATCTTAAAATATGTAAAACAACATATTAAAATATACGTGTTTTAAGAGTTTTTCCGAAAACTCACCGGTTTTAAATAAAAAATATTCTAATATTTCAGAGTAGTTTCACCCCCTTAGAATTCGAGTTTCGAAAAATCCCTTCTTATCGAACCTCTACACACTAAAGTCAATCCGTTTTCCAAAAATCAGTTTTTTACGTCAAGGGCTTTAAGCAGAATCGTGATTAATCAATGACTAGATTTTTCAAAACACCCTGTATACATTTTTAAAAAATCTTAAAATATTATTCTGAAAATTTTTCAGAATAAATATATACCTAAATATTGAAACTTAATAAGTAAGTACTGAAACATACAGCGCCATAATATCTCGACCTCCGTCCGTTATGCTCGTAACAGGTTGAAACAGAATGTATCTAAAACAACTGATGCGTTATTCCCCAACCTGTTTCGAACTTCCATCGACAATCGACCGATGCAGCAGCGTTCCTTTCCCACACCTATTATCTCGTCCGCCGCCCTGTTATGCTTGTAACAGGTTGAAAAACAACATATCTAAAATGACTGCTTCTCCAACCCGTTGCGAGCCTCCATCGACAATCGACCGATACAGCAGCGTTCCTTTCCCACTCCTGTTATCTCCACCGCCAGGCGTTATGCCCGCAACTGTTTCAAAAAACCTGCTTCTTTTATATCCTATTATTTTTAAGCTGTTGTAAATACGACCATTGACGGTATCGACCGAAGCAGGTACGTTCGCCGTAGCGCTTTCCCCACTCCGTTGTCCGTTGTCTCGCCGCCTGTATCGATGGTTGACGAAATGACATGTTTTCCATCCATACTAGTTGTTTTTTGGAATTGCTTCGAGCAGCATAGAATTTCGTGGTGATGCAGAGCGCCGACTTCGTTTTTCCTTTGACGAGCGGCCGATCTCTACGTGTCGTTATTTTATATCTGTTATTTTTTAAAAGTAGTAACGGTTGCGTTATGTTATTTATAAATAATTGTTATAAAATAACAGATAGTTAAATAACAACCCATCACTACTTTTTTGAGCCATCCTATAAAAGGTAAAATATTTTCCTGAAATACATCCTAGTACATTCTTTAGGTTTGCACTTGAACAAAATTCCCAAATTCTAGGAGCTACAGATGTCCGACGCACTATTCCGGACCATGTATATTAATACGTATATCCAAGTGATCTGAAAAAATGCTGCGAAACAGCCCAATAGCGATCTAAAAAAAATCAATCGAAACCTAATATTTTTACGGTAAAAATATCTTTTTCATTTCGCACTGTTAAAATAATTTTAAAACATAGGGCTTAAAGAACTTAAAATTATCACTGATTAATGTTTGCAGCATATTTTAGTACCATTTTTGCTATCTACATGATTTGTTGAATGACGGTATATCCTGGGAAATTTGGAGAAAGCCGTTTAAATAATAATACAAAATACAATCATCCTCTTAAAGACAACTTACCAGAAATCTTGCCGATTGAAGTAAGTTTTCAATAGAGTCATCGCCATGTGTCTTTATCTCAGGCACGTTGTTCCAGTCATTTATGCTGTAAAAATAAAATATCATATGCTATTAAATTAGATTTCCTGAAAGCATTTGCTTGTTATAAATTAGGTTGAGCTAATTGTACATTGACTTTCATAAAAGTAAGTTCTCTACTTTACATCACCAAATTTTTAAATTTTAATGTATTTTTTCTAAAGGGAATGTATATAAATAGACACAACACCAAAGGGCCTTGTATATGCATTAACTAGGTTTATTTTTTAGGTTTTTATGGCCTATAAGATTTATGGTTTATATTTAAAAAAATTAAAATATAAAAACTCTAGGTATATTTTATTAATTATTCATTAGAAATTTTGTATTATTTTTTAAATATACAGGGTGGCGCCTCTCATACGACGCGGAGGCTCCAAGGAGAAGGGTAGTATATATCGAAATGAAATATTGTAAATATATGTAGGTTTATTGAAAGAGTTTTGTAAAAATATATACTATACAATACTGCCATTACTCGCTGACGAGTATTCGACACGCATCAAAAGATGGTCACGCAAGGCGTTTTCTTTCATGTGCTTTTCTGTGACTGAAAAGCCCGATACGTGATGTTATTTGCCTACTGCACTCCGGACATTCAAAAATTTCATTGATCTGTTGCCTCTTTACTTTTTGGTTGTCGCTGTTAACTGAGTTTACAATCCTTCTCAATTGAGTTCTATTGTGAACTGCTTCTTCCCAATGATTCTGCATGTTAATCCCCTTTAAGTTTTCGTGGAAAATGTCCTTGTACCTTTTGAGTTGTCTACCCGGCCTCCTCTTACCGTCTACAAGCTCACCGTAGAGCAGAGATTTTGGTATGCGGTTTTCTTGGTATGCGATTTTGGTATGCGGTTTCTTCTGCATACGTGACCAGCCCATCTTAAGCGGGATTGTGTAACCATGACTTCAATACTTTCGCAATGAGCTTTTTCCGATACGTTTGAGACATGATGGAACCACCGATTTCTTAAGAGTTGTCTAAGGTGTCTCTGTTGCAACTTGTTTAATGCCTTCATGTGTCGGCGGTACGGCACCCAGGTTTCGCTCCCATATAACATGGTGGGGATCATAATTGCTCGGTACACTGCCAGTTTCGTTATTGTACTCAAGTCATGATTGTAGAAAACCCTGTCTTTTAATTTCCAGAATGCTCTTGAAGCGCTGCTAATCCTGTTCTGAATTTCAGAGTCGATATTGGCCTTTTCCGAAATCAAACTGCCGGGGTAATTAAATTCCGCTACATATTCCAATAGTTCTTCTCCGATTTTTATAGCATTGTTATGATCTTCCGGGGGAAAATATATAGAGTGCTACAGGGTGTCCCCTAAAAAAGTTACGCATAAAAGTTGGGTTTTTTGTAATGGAACACTATATATTTTAATTGATTTTTGGATTCTATGAAGAAAATAAAGGTGAGTTTCATCAAAAAGTATATGCCTAAAATGTAAGGATTTTGATGTATTTCACATTTTGTGAAAATGAAGAATACATTTTAAATTTCAATAACAGCTACCTAAATTGTAATCTATCCTGTATAGTCTGATATATAATTACAATAACCATTATATGTTATACCAAATTAAAATTTGATCCGAAAATGTATACAGGGTGAGACAAAATTAATATTAAACATTGGTCACTTTTAAAAGCAAGTTACTCCTTTATTTTAAATAGAACACCCAATATATTATTCCGGTATTCAATGGAGACTTCATATCTTCAAAATACTATTAATGTTGCCTACCCCTCAGACATGTATTTTCCTAGATATTTTAATTTTTATGATTTTGTGTTAGTAGATCTTTATTATTTGATAATGATCATATACCTTTTGTTAATTTAACTAAAATTAAACGATTTAAAGTAAAACACTCAACGGTAATAAAAAGATACACGTTTAAAATATATTTTAAATATTACATAACTAAAACCTAACCTCAGAATTATTTTAGTATAAAATACTTTTCTTTGTGTTTATTTCTTTGAATTTCATACTAAATTTTCTTAGTCATAGGATTACTATATAATTTACTTATTTGTAGATAAGTTACAGTAAAATAATTTAGGCTATATAACACACATTTATACTAGCTGATATTGTGATCTGACAGGAACTGAATTTAAACCAATTTTAATTGTCTTCAGTTCCTTTTTTGCATGTTTTTTTTATTATTATTTATTTGTAAATTACATTTGTTGTAAATGATATTCATGCAAAATAAAGTATTATTATATAAACGTATAATTATGTGTACAAATTAGCTAGATGAAATAAAATGCTCAAATTTTTTATTTCCAGTTCAATGGGCAGTATGTAGACGCTACACAAATTGTAGAGACATTAATTGGTGAATGGTCACCTACTAATAGAATCATATCAAATGTCTCCGACGTAGTATAAGTTTCCATTTTCGGCAAATTTCTGAGATGTTTTTTTTGTTTTAACTGATACAAAATCATAACGAGTTTTTAAAGTTGAACTAATTTGAGAGCTATGTTGAAGTAAGGCCAGACATATCACAGCCACCTAGATTTTTTCAAATAATAAAGATCTACAATACTAAATCATAAAAATTAAAATATCTAGGAAAATCTTTGGTTGAGGGGTAGGCAACCTTAACAGTATTTTGAAGAGACATGAATTCCCCATTGAATATCGGAATAATATACTGAGTGTTAAAATATAAAAAATAAAATTCAATGTTACTTTATCCGAATGACCGATATGTGTTTTTAACGTTGAAGATCGTATAAAATTTTCCTGTCGTCCTTCAAAAAAATGTCATAACTGTTATATGATAATAAAACCGCAAGTTTTCTTATTAGTTATATTAGAGTAAACTAAGGCAGAGTATGGGAGTCAAAAGTTGCATATGCTAAAATAATAGCAAATTGCTTTTCTTGTTACAAACAAGAAAATGATTAAAAATGCGTTATCAAAGACGTAACACGATTTCAGTTTACTAAGGTCTACTTTAGGTCTCCAATAGCAACAAGCATGTTTCAAGCGTCTAATTGTAAAACCCCACAAGTAACATATTTTTAAAAATTGAGTACCATAGACAATTTTATTTGTTTTCTAAAGAGTTATTAAAGTTTTTAATATTTTAATGCGAATATCGATATTTTCCATAGTAGGTATATCTGGTTTCAAGTATTTTTTTAAGTAGGTATCAGAATCTAAACTCAAACACCAACATACCTGCGTCAGCCAATAAGCATAAATTAGTCAGATCAAAAATTTTTGTTTTGCTGACGATTTTGATTTTGATGTTTAATCTTAGTTCAACATTATGTGTATATTATTCTTTGCTTACTATGTTTTTTTTTAATAAGATATTTTAGCTAGACCTCTAATTATGTGTTTTATATTCGTCCTTTAGTATACATAAGAAGTATGTAAATAAAATTAAAAATAAATCTAGAGCCAGCAAAATAAAGTAAACAAGAAGGAAGTTTCTGTTTAGTTTAGAATCTCGAAGAATGTTTCTTATTTAGGAAAGTTTTAAAGAAGTTTTTACAAAACCCCATTTTATTAAATTTCCATTTCCTCTTGCAACTACCCTATTTCCGTGGATTCTAATTCTTGAATAATTTATAATTTTAATCAAGTGCTCATGTGTAAAAAGTGTATTGGCAAAATTTGAGGTACCTTTTCCTTCAAATATAAAATTAATACGAGTATAATTCTGTCATGTGACAGGTTATGACAGACGAAGTACAAAGTGAATAAGTGTAAATTTTTTTGTTTATTTTAAAGTTTTATGCATTGTGTTCTAGTGGACCGATTTTGATGATTTTTTAAGCAATTTGTAGCTAAATTATTTGACTGTCTAGTGTCTCTTTCCAAATTAAAAATGAAAATTGCATTGAAGGGTGTTCCAAAAAAAACAAAGAAAATAATATAAATGTATTTTTGATTTTAAGATAGTTCTTTTATTTGTAAAAAAAATTAAGGAAGGTTAAAAAATATATTTCTTTTTATTTATTTATTAATATCTCGAATTAATAATTATCAATATGTATATATAGGTACTCATATTTAAGGATTATGTATAGTGATTTGGAAGGAAGCCAAAAATGCAATGGGTGTCCCATTTAAAAAAAAATCATCCCGAACCACTCACACTTTTTTCAGCCACCCTATAAAAGTTAAAATATTTTCCTGAAATACATCCTCGTACATACTTTAGGTTTGCAGTAGCTACAGATGCCCAACGCACTATTGCCGGACCCTGTAAATTGATACATTTTCTTAAGCATTCTTCATTACTTACATTCTATACTAATATACTCGTATTATAAAATCCTTAAGTAAAACTGACTCACTGATTAATCACGATCTTGCTCAAACCACTCAACGTAAGAAGCTCAGTTTTGGCATAGAGGTTGATTCTAGAGTGTAGAGGTTCGATAAGGAGGGATTTTTCAAAATTCCAGTTCCAAGGGGGTGAAACCACCCCTCAAATATTACAATATTTTTTTATTTAAAAAACAGTCAAGTTTCCGAAAAAACGCTTAAACACGTATATTTTATTTTGTTTTTTTACATATTTTAAGATTTTTTAAAAATGTATACCGGGTGTTTCGAAAACTATGGTCATTGATTAATCTCGATCCTGCTTAAAGATTCACTTTAGGATGTAGAGGTTCAATAAGAAGGCATTTTTTGAAACTCGAATTCTAAGGGGGTGAAACCACCCCTCAAATATTAGAATACTTTTTTTATTTAAAAACCGGTGAGTTTTTCCCTTAAACCCTTAAACACGTATATTTTATTTTGTTGTTTTATATATTTTAAGATTTTTAAAAAATTATACAGGGTGTTCAGGTTAAAGCTGATTTTTGGCAAACGGATTGACTGTGGGGTGTAGAGGTTTGATAGGGAGGGATTTCTAAAATCTCAAATTCCAAGAGGGTGAAAACGCCCCCCAAATATTACAATATTTGTTATTTAAAAACGGGAAAACGCTTGGACACGCATAATTTATTTTGTTTTTTTAC